TTATGTGGGACGAGGAAAAAGTACTTTCTCTAGGGCTCGTAGCCCAGAAACATCTCGCAAAGGGCAACAAAGCCTGAGATGTGCAAGATTGACCCGGGTGTGAGGTGATGGAGCTGGATCCCGTAGAACTCTAGTAGACCCCTAAGGGAGGGCTGAATGGGAAAACCCAAGCCTCGTAAGAGGAAGGGCATGAAACATACCCTCTCTTCCTTGCGTGGATCGGGGAAGTTCTGTGTGAAGGCTTCACCGTTCGTGGAAGTTAATCCCGGATGGGTCGAAATGATATCTGAAGCGGGAAGATATCCTTGTGTCTCGAGTCTGCTAAGTTGCCGATGGGAGACTGTGCAGCTCACTCAGTCGCCAGGAAGAGGGCCATGGGGGCGGGAGGAGGAGCTTGGAGCGCTGGCCATTTTCTCTCGAATTTGCTAGCGTCCCGGCTTCTCGATTTGGAATAAGTTACCCATCGTGCTCCTGGACTGTTTAATAGGCATTCCCTCTGTCTTGTAAGGGACATTTCTATAAAAGATTGCTAGACCGTCCGCCTCCTTTTGGCGTGAAGGAACCAATGGGCGTCATTAATCCGGCGTGAGAATTGATAACATGGGCCCTGCGACGACTCACTGGATCGAGCAAGTTATCGGGACCAAACTATGGTCAGCTGGACATAGAGAGGAGGGAAGAACTCGCCCCGCAAGCTGGAGATGTCAAACACATAAAGACCTCGGGGATCATGAGACATCATCATTGGAGGCTAGTTCGGGGGCTACTGAGGATGTCCTAGACTAGGGGGTCCTTGGGCTGCCAGCCTATCTCTTAGGGTCGGACTGGTGGGCCACACTACACTGCTAGAAGACCGAACTATGAGGCGACTCCGTATCCAGAGAGGAGATCTTTCATGCCTTGGTGTGTCTTCCAAGTCAAGATAAGAAGAATCTGCATGATTATTCCTTCCTTATAACCGACGCGACTTTGTGTAACCCTAGTACCCCTAGTGTCGATATAAATCAAAGGGTTTAGTCTGTAGAGGCTAGAAAAACAACCATCATCCTACTCGCCTAGGGTTTAGTTCATCCGATCTCGTGGTAGATCGACTTTGTAATCATCCTATACACTTCAATATAATCAAGCAGGACATAGGGTTTTACCTCTTCGAGAGGGCCCGAACCTAGGTAAACATAGTGTCATTCGTCCCTTGTTCCCCATTGATCCAAGATCCACAGCTTGGGACCCCCTACCCGAGATCCGCCGATTTTGACACCGACAGTGACCAACAGATATAAATCCCAAGTGGCTCAACAAATATAGCTATGTTCCCTGACAACGGCGCCAGAAAAAGGTCTTGATAACCCACAAGTATAGGGGATCACAACAGTTTTCGACGGTAGAGTAATCAATTCAACATAAGGGGAGTCAAAAAATACTTGTAAGTATTAGCAGTTGAGTTGTCAATTCAACCACACCTGGAGACTAAATATCTACAGTAGAGTGATCAATAGCACGATAGTATGATAATTTGGTAGCAACAGTAGCAATGGCAATAGTAGCGTACAGTAACAGTAGTAGTTTTGTAGCAATTGTAACAGTAGCAACAACAGTAGTAACTTAGCAAGAACAATATGTGAAAAAACTCGTAGGCATTGAATCGGTGACAATGTTGGATAATATTCATCATATAACAGTAATAACCTAGGGCAACACAGAACTAGCTCCAATTCACCAATATAATGTAGGCATGTATTCCGTAAATAGTCATACGTGCTTATGGAAAAGAACTTGCATGGCATGTTTTGTCCTACCCTCCTGTGGCAGCGGGGTCCATAAGGAAACTAAGGGATATTAAGGCCTCCTTTTAATAGAGCACCGGAACAAAGCATTAACTCATAGTGAATACATGAACTCCTCAACCTATGGTCATCAGTGCAAAGAATCCCAATTATTGTCACCTTGGGGTATGCGGATCATAACACGTAGCATGTGCATATAACTTGCAATATCGGATCAAGAACACAAATATATTGGTGAAAGCATAAATGGTTAAGATCTAAAATCATGGCACTCGGGCCCTAGTGACAAGCATTGGGCATTACAAAGTCATAGCAACATCAATCTTAGAACATAGTGGATACTAGGGATCAAGCCCTAACAAAACTAAATCAATTACATGACGAATCTCATCCAACCCATCACCGTCCAGCAAGCCTACGAAGAGATTACTCAGTCCCGACGGTGAACATCATGAAATTGCTGATGGAGATGGTTGATGATGACGAAGACGGAAGATCCCCCTCTCCGGAGCCCGTGAACAGTCTCCAGATCTGGCCCCCCGATGAAGAACAGGAGGTGGCGGCGGCTTGGAATCGTAAAACATGATGAAACTTCCTCTCCTATTTTTTTCTCAGGAAAAAGGAATTTATTGAGTTGGAATTAGGGTCAGCACAGCCTCAAGGGGCCCTCTACCAACTTGGGCACGCTAGAGGGGGTGGCGCGACCTGGTGCCTAGTGGGTAGTAGGATCCCCTCCAATGGGTACTTCCTCTAGTATATTTATTTTATTAGAAAACAATTCTCCAAAAAGTTTCGTACAATTCTGAGAACTTTTATTTCTGCACAAAAATAACACCATGGTAGTTCTGTTGAAAACTACATTAGTCCGGGTTAGTTTCATTCAAATCAGAGTAAAAAACAAGAGCATAAGTGTTTGGAAAAGTAGATACGACGGAGACGTATCAGTGTGCAGTTGACGTACAACACCCATCCTACAGCGTCGTCTGCGTGTGTGGCGTCGAGCACGATGGCGAACGTGTCGAGCCATAATTACTTTTAGAAAAAAACTTACATGTAATACATTATAGTTTAAGAAGTTTAGATAGACACAATACATACTTCCCCTTGTCCATACTAAAAATAGATTGTTTCATCTCAAATGGTGCACCATTAGTGGATCCCTTGATTCATTAACAAAACCAGGCATTAATAACAGAGAAATTATAATGATAATGGCAATGTTTTGTTTAAAATGTATATAAACTACTAGCATGCCATTCAGACAAAAAACAAAAACAAAAACAAATAGTAAATGGTATCATCACTTTCTTTTTGTTGTTAAAACACTACATATAGCAGCAAATATAAATGGCAGAACAATATCCATTAATATAAACATGTTGATGACTTGGGAGAGCCGCACAGCGACACATCGGCTACATGCACATGTTGCACATGTATATACATATGTACATGTGTAGGACCTCAAAACCAAGAAGTAAAGAAATCATTGTGTGGCACACTTTATATTATATGAAAGTATCTCTTATGAATGGATGCATACGTATATGAGAAAAGAGGACGACGCCTTGGGAAAACCTCATGGCAACATGTGGTCTACATGCATGTGTTACACATGTATCGTGTGTAGGACTTCAAAACCGACAAGGAAACACATCACATTATGCCTTATCTGAGAATATCTGTTGTGGATGAATACATGCATACACGCATATTTTGGGAAAACAGGATGATTATATGGGAGAGTCGCGTGGCGAAACATGGGCTACATGCACAATGTACATGTGTAGGAACTCGGGACCGAGAGGAAAAGAAAATATTAGCAATTATTATGCATCACTCATTGCATTAGGGTGTCTCCAATAGTTGTAAGATAGGTGCTGGCAAAATTTGTCACATATTTTTTTATGATGTGGCATAAAATAAATAGGAAGAGAGAGGAGGGTTGTATATAAATGAACCAACAACCCTGATACAAGCTTCAAGGTGAAATAAGAAAAGGAGAACTTTATAAATGCTCTCACCTCCCATTGGTCACACTACAGACACTCTATTGGAGTAGTTTATAATAAATTACTGATGGATGATATGTCTAGTTTTACCAACAAGCTTATCAACAGACTATCGGAGTCTCCAGTTGACTGTAGGTATATGTGTTTGTAAATGTATCTATGTCATCAACAAATAAGCTATCATACACATTCCAATATGTGTATCTATGGACACTCCTTATGTGTAACGTATTAAGATATACATTAAATGTGTTTTTAGATACAACTTCTTTAGTGGTTTATATTTTAGAGTTGTATTTTGTTTTGTGAAATGGAAAAAAATATTAGCTTTCCTAGTTTTGCTGCTAAGAACTAAGATATAGCAATACTCTATTTCCTTAGCATTCTTGGTTTTTTTGCTAAGAACTAAGATATAGTGATACTCTATTTCTTCATTAAATATGGTGATGCATTAAATTTATATTGAGATGATGTGTTTTAGACGTAGTGCACCTTGAAGCATTGGGATTGCTCTAAGAAAATGAGATAGTAAAAAGAGTAGTCCTATCTCTTTGCGTCTTAAATTCGTGCCTCATTAAATATGGTATCACATTGGATTTCTACCTAGGTGGCATGCATTACACAAAGCACATGTTGGAGAATTGGGATTGTCCTAAGAAAATAAGATGGTTAATAATTGTGCTATCTCTTTGCATCTTTAAAGTTCTTGCAAGGGTTATTGGTTCAAGTTCGTACAATTTATTCCCACGTAATTATTGGAAATTCCCTTACCTCCATTTGCGAGTGCATATATGCATACCTGAGAAAACAGGAGGAGGCCTTGACACATCGACATGTGGGATGCCTGCACATGTTACACATGTAGGAGCATGTGATATATGTGTGCAATGTACTATGCGCTCCAAAATGTGCGTTGGATCGTTTATGACAAGATGTGGTGATGCATATTCATCGACCAACAACACAACATTATCCTTCCAAGATTACATTGACCAACATATACAACATGCACTAAATTGCAATAGATGACTGATGGAGTATGTACTTTTCTATTTAATATAACTCCTTTCTTCTTTCTATGTCAACAACGAGATCTGCAGACACGTAGGAACTAGGTTGCTGCAGGATGAAGCGACTACCAGCCATGCATGGTATGCCACTTAGATGCGATGGTGGGGTCCTAGATGTTGATCCCTCCTCCACCTTAATCGCCCATCACCTCCTGAAACCCCTCCAACCCAAAGTCTTCCGCCTTGGGAAGCCCCGCCACATATGCCTCGAAGTCCCCCAACTCTAACGCCCCCGCCGCGTTGTAATAGGACCACTCAATGTCAAATGTGCCCAAGTTAGTGGGGGTTGTCGTCGACACTGTTGAGGTTGAGGAGGAGTAGCACAGTGCAGTGGTGTTGTTGGTGTCGGTGCTATGAGCCGGAGGCTGTTGCTCTTGCGCATGAGGGAGAGGAACTATCGCGGTCATGGGAGGAAGGGGAGGTGCTGCCAGGTTGAGGCGTGCGCAGTCACCATAGAGCGCCCTTGCCGCAGCATCATATGCGCGTGCGGCATCGAGCGCAGTGGCGAACGTGCCAAGCCAGAGGCGGGCGCCGTGGTTGGGCTCACGGATCTCGGCCACCCACCTACCCCAGGTGCGCTGGCGGACGCCGCGGAAGGGGCATCGCTGGTTTTCAGGCCCTCCCTTGCCCTTCATGCACCCCTTGCGCGATTGTCGGAGCGGGCAGCACCGCCGCCTATTCTGCTGCTGGTCCGCCGGCGCCGGCGTTTGCTTCATTCTTGATATGACTGTGGCAGAGGGATGTCGACTGAATCTGCTCGGGGAGAGGGTCCATAGCCACTGATACTTATTGATGAATTGATGGCATGGAGGACTGCGGTGAGGTACATACGTGTAGGGACGGAGCAACGTGTGGTGGAGACGACGCGGCATCTGGAGGGGCTGCGTTACCTACCTCGATCAATGAGTCGGTCTCTTTGATGGATTTGGATATGGGCAAGCATCTACATGTGTTCTCCATGCGTTGAGGTGAAGTGGCGCGTGTAGGTGTGCATGCATGCAAGTGTCACGCCTCCCCAACACACACCTGGTTTCCATGTGTTGCGTACATATGCCATGGCTCGCTGGCTGACACAACACATCGCGCACATACCGGTCTCTTTGGACATTTCATTCATGGCACTAGCAGGAGTAAATAGCATAAACCTACAACAATTGGAGCAAGGGTTCCGAAAACTACCACTTTCTGAAAACTTCCTAATACCTATCACTTGTTGATTGGCTATGTCAAAAAACTATGATGTTGCATTGATGAGTGTGTTAGATAATTTTAATCATGATTATGACAGATCGGTTCCACCCGTCTAGTCTGACGTGGCATAAAAGTCAACACCATTAGTTTTGGCCATTGACAGGTTATCATAGGTGGGGCCCAAATATTTTTAAAGCAATTAGGTCCTTGCAAAAAAAAGCAATCACGTCCCTGATTTTTTTATAGAAAGCAATCAAGTACTTGCCAAGAAACTAATAAAGCAATCGGGTTCGGCCGGTCCACCGCCGGTGCTGCTCCTTTGCACCCGTGTGCTGCTACTGCGGCTCCTTGACTGTGTGCTACTGTTGCCGCTCCTTGCGGCCATGCGCTGCCATTGCCGCTCCTTGCAATCATGCGTCATGGCTGCTGCTCCTTGCCCACCGTGCGCTATTGCTGTTGCTCCCCCATGTCGTGCGTCGTGCACTTCTCCTACTACTCCTTGTCATCGTGCACCGCTGCTCCTTGCCTGTGGGCGCCGTCACCACCGCTCCTTCACGTAGTGTGCTGCTACTTCTACATACCGTGCGCCGTTGTTGCTTGTCCTTGTTGGTGAGTGTCTATCGGCCCTGTCCGATAGTGATACATTTCCATCATATCTACTTTTCCAAATACTTTTGCTTTTGTTTTAGACTCTAATTCGCATGATTTGAATGAAGCTAACGTGGACTGAAGTTCTTTTCATGAGAACTGCCATGGTGTTGTTTTTGTGCAGAAATAAAAGTTCTCATAATAAACATTCTCAGAATTAGACGAAACTTCTCAGAATAAAAAAATACTGGAACCAAGACCCACTAGAGGGGGGGCCTGGCTGCCCACAAGACACCAGGCCGCGCCACCCCCCTCTAGCGCGCCCTGGTGGGTGGTGGGGCCCTCGAGGCCCCGCTGACCCTAATTCCGACGCTATAAAATCCTATTTTTCCAGAAAAATAGGAGAGGAAGTTTCATCATGTTTTACTATACGGATCCACCGCCACCTCATGTTCTTCATCGGGAGGCCAGTCTGGAGCCCGTTCGGGGCTCCGGAGAGTGGAATCTTCGGTCTTCGTCGTCACCAACCATCCTCTATCACCAATTTCATGATGCTCACCGCCGGGAGTGGGTAATCTCTTCGTAGGCTTGCTGAACGGTGATGGGTTGGATGAGATTTGTCATGTAACCGAGTTAGTTTTGTTAGGGCTTGATCCCTAGTATCCACTATGTTCTAATTTTGATGTTGCTATGACTTTCCTATGCTTAATGCTTGTCACTAGGGCCTGAGTGCCATGATTTCAGATATGAAACGTTTATTTTTTCACCATTATATCTATGTTCTAGATCCGATCTTGCAGGCGATATGCACCTATTACGTGTTATGATCCGTAAACCCCAAAGTGACAATAGTTGGGATACTTTCCGATGATGACCGTAGTTTCAGGAGTTCATGTATTCACTATGTGTTAATGCTTTGTTCCGGTTCTCTATTAAAAGGAGGCCTTAATGTCCCTTAGTGTCCTTATGGACCTCGCTTCCATGGGAGGGTAGGACAAAAGATGTCATGCCAGTTCTTTTCCATAAGCATGTTTGACTATTTATGGAATACATGCCTACATTATATTTATGAACTGAAGCTAGTTCTGTGTCGCCCTAGGTTATGACTGATATATGGTGAATATCATCCAACGAATTCATCGATCCAATGCTTATGAGTTTTTCACATATTGTCCTTGCTGCGTTACTATTGCTAGTGCTACTGTTACAAAACTATTACTACTGTTACCATTACCACTATTATTGTTACTATCACTATCAAACTATCATATTGCAGTGCTACCGATCACCTTGCTGCAGATATTTAATCTCCAGGTGTGGTTGAATTGACAACTCAACTGCTAATACTTACAAATATTTTTTGGCTCCCCTTGTGTCGAATCTATAAATTTGGGTTGAATACTCTACCCTTAAAACTGTTGCGATCCCCTATACTTGTGGGTTATCATGGCCGGATGCCTTGTATGGCCCACGAGGCTTCGTCTGACCTAATTCCAAGCCTATAAATTCCGTGTTCCTGAGAAGAAAAAAATAAGAGAAGAAGTTTCATCGTGTTTTACGATAGGGAGGGCTGTTCTGGACTCTATTTGGGGCTCCGGAGAGGGCGATTCGTCATTGTCATCATCATCAATCCTTCTTAATCAACAATTCCATGATGCTCACCACCAGGAGTGAGTGATTCCTTCGTAGGCTTGCTGGACGGTGATGGAGTTGGATGAAATTTGTCATGCGATACGTCTCCAATGTATCTATAATTTTTGATTATTCCATGCTATTAAAGTATCATTCTTGGATGTTTTATACTCATTTACTAGCAACTTTATATCATTTTTTGGAACTAACCTATTGACATAGTGCCCAGTGTCAGTTGTTGTTTTTTTGCTTCTTTTTTACTTCGCAGAATATCAATACCAAACGAAGTCCAAATCCATGAAATTTTTTGGAGATTTTTTCTTCCCAGAAGACACCTAGGAGTTCCAAGAAGTGCACAGAGGGCACTGTGGGGCCCACTTGGCTCCAAGGCACGCTAGGGTCCCAGACGCCCCCTGGTGGGTAGTGGGGCCCATAGAAACCCCCTCCACCGACCTCTAGATCTATAAATACTCAAAAATCCCAAAAACCCCAGGGGACAACAAAACGCAATTCGAGCCGCCGCAAGTTCCAGAACCACGAGATCCAATCTAGAGGCCTTCTCCGACACTCTGCCAGAAGGGTCAACGATCACGGAGGGGGTTCTTCATCATCACCCTTGCCCCTCCGATGATGCATGAGTAGTTTACCACAGACCAACGGGTCCGTGGGCAGTAGCCAGATGTCTTCTTCTCTCTTTACAATGTTCTCCTTGATGTTCTTGGAGATCTATTTGATGTACAAACTTTTTGTGGTATTTTTGTTGGGATCCGATGAATTGCGAGTTTATGATCAGATCTATCTATGAATATTATTTGAGTCTTTGTTGAACTCTCTTACACATGATTGTTATAGCCTCGTATTTATTCTCCGAAACATTGGTTTGGTTTGGCCAACTAGATTGATTTTTCTTGCCATGGGAAGAGGTGCTTTGTGATGGGTTCGATCTTGCCGTGCTCAATCTCAATGACAAAAGGAGATATGACACGCATGTATCGTTGCCATTAAGGATAAAAAGATGGGGTCCATTCCTATATGAATAGATCTTGTCTACATCATGTCATCATTCTTATTGCATTACTCCATTTTTCCATGAACTTAATACACTAGATGCATGCTGGATAGCAGTCGACATGTGGAGTAATAGTAGTAGATGCAGGTAGGAGTCTGTCTACTAATCTTGGATGTGATGCCTATATAGATGATCATTGCCTTGGATATCAACATAATTATTTGCTCTTCTATGAATTGCCCAACAGTAATTTGTTTACCCACCGTATGCTATTTTCTTGAGAGAAGCCTCTAGCTAAATCGACGGCCTCGGAGTCTATCTCCTATCATATTATTTTCAGATCTATTATTCCAAAAATCCAAAAATACCTTGCTACATTTTTTGCTACAATTTAATCTATCTCAATACCGAGGAGGGATTGACAACCCCTCTTATGCGTTGGGTTGCAGGTTTTTGTGCTTTGTGTGCAGGTGTTGCTTACATAGTGTTTCTTGGTTCTCCTATTGGATTAATGACCTTGGTTTCATAAATGAGGGAAATACTTACCGTTGCTATGGAGCATCATCCTCTCCTCTTCAAGGACTTACCAATGCATATACAAGCAATCAGGAAGAATTTCTGGCGGGGTTGCCAGGGAAACATCATCAATATCTATCAGGTTACTACGCACAAACTCTCATCTCCATGCAATTACTTTATTTCCCATTTGCCTCTCATTTTCATCTCCCCCACTTCTAAAACGTTTTCAGAAAAACACAAAAATATTTGCCCTCTTTTCGTTTGCCCTTTTTTCTTTGGTCTTCTCATCAACATTACTACCCCTCCTTTGTTACAGGATTTTGAAGTTCTATATTTCAAACAAAAGCAAGGAGAACATTTGAAAGATGCTTCGTATAGGTTGATGGAATCTTACCGCATTTGAATATGAAAGGAGATGCAAAAAATTTGCTTCGTAATTTTTATATATGTTTAACCATGCATCATAGAAAACTCTTGGATTTTGCCACTAAAGGGAATATTGTTGAGATTGATGGTAATGCTGCTTATGAAATAATAGAGGGAATATTGTGAGTTCCACCACCAAAAAGGTATTTACTTTTAGACAAGAAGGGATTCAAACATTAGACAAATTGGGTCATCTACAGAAAAATTTGGTTGAGTTGCAAAAGTCTAATGAACCACTCAAACATATTAGTGGAAACCTTAGTCGCATGAATACTTTGATTACTATGTGTAATAAGTGGTTCGATATTTAGATCTTAAGAAGGTCTCTTTTCCTGAAAGTAATGGGAAGTG